ATCAGAGAAAAGACAATATCTACATTTATTGCTGACTGGAAACCCCTTATAGACTTTTTGTGTGAAATAGAAAAGAAATGAACTTATGACTTATGGTTTTGATGATTAGACAGAATAGATTATAGAAAGAAGAGAGCTATGGTAACCATAGAGTAAGAGATAAATTTATAATTATACTTATAATTGCTATAAAGAAGATCAGAAACTACTTTGTATCTTTTTTCTTTCTTTTCTATTTTTCTTTTACTTTTTTTCTTTTCTTGCACCTTTAGCTTTCTCTTTGATTTCTTTCTTCTTTTCTTTTTCTCACTTTATATTAGTTTGTATTAGTTTTTATTTTCTTTTTAATTTTTTTAAATAAAATTATGCAGAAAAACCTTTTTCTTTTTTTAATTTTGAGCACTGGTTAATGCACACATCTGTATATCAGGTCCCATAATATCCCTTCTCACAACAGAGGATACAGAGGAGTCTTCCATAACTCTGATTTCCTCTAAGAATTACCTTAAAATCCTGGGTAAGAATCCTTTTTCCCATCTGAAATGACAACCCAGCATATGAGGCCCAGTCATTATGAAATGGACAGTTATTGCTCATATTTTTTAGATGGATTCCGCTATCTTCTCAAGGTTATGCTTGTCTTGAAAGGTTATCTCTTTCTCTTTCCATTCATGGTACAGCATGTTGCTGTCAGGAAAAGCAAATTTGTCGGAAGACATGCAGTTAGATAATATTAGACTCTAAATGGGACAAGAAGAAGCAGGGAAAGGGGCCATGTAGCTGATATGAGACTTCATATTTTTGATAGGAGAGTCCCATATATTTGAGGCTCTCTTTTTCCTTTTGAAGATCCAATCTCCAAACTTCAGCCTCCACACAAATACATAATTAAACCTGCTAGGAAAATATATGGGCACATCAGATTACTAAAGCAGTACTCCAGGAATGGGGGTTGGAGGGGGCAGCTTGTCCAAAATCTCCCTCAACTGTTGGTGACAGCATGCTGGCAGGGGAATTCTGGGAGGTGAAGTCCACATATCCTCAAGCTGCCAAAGTTGAGAACACTGGTCTATAGTGCAGGTTTTCAGAGACAGCTATGTGTAAGCTAGTCAATTAAACTTAAAACCATCTGACACTGAGACAAGATTGAACTCAGTGACCTAATTGTAGGCACACCTATCTTCACTACAAAACTTGAGACAACTCCTGGATGTTGGGACAGAGTTATTTGCTGCCACCTAGCGGTCTAGATTTTGCAACTCAGATATCGGATGCCTGCTAACTGGCCCAAACTCCAGGATTCCAGGATTCTACAATACCGCAATAAATCTGTTGGTTTTAAGGTGCCATCAAATTCTCTGTTTCCTTAATGCTTACATGACTGA